TGGAAATCTTAATTGTTGTTGATTGCAGGTGTGTATAATAATTCCCATTGATTTTACTTGTAAAGCAGGGAGAACAGCGCTAGGCTTACCGCACCATGACGTCACTGCTGGAAGATGTCAGGAGTGAGGTGTTACAATATTTGGGCAAAAATGGCCACTTCCAGACTCAATGATCGCAATGAAAATAATTATTTTTATTTTTACACTGATTAATGCTAAATTCATTAAATCACTGCAAACATATTAGTTTTAGGTATAGATAATGATTCATTGATTATTCCCTGCTGACCAGACATCTCGCTTAAAGGTTTGGTTTAATTGGGAAAGGGTGACCTGTAGTAGTAAGAGCATACTTAGAAGGTTACAACTGCCTTGGTTTAAATCATAAAGACCTCTATAGAGATTCAAGAGCACGACCCCTAGTCCCAGATAACTTGTTGGTCGCTGCACAGTGGCAGCCAGGGTGGTAGTAATTGGTTACTTTACTCAGTTAAAATTAACATTTTGAAAAAAAACATACTTTTAGAAGAGTTTCAGTGTGCAATACTCCTACTTGTATAACATTTCTGTCTACTGTACTGAGATCGACATAGTTTATTTTCACATGAACGTATGCATACGTACGTACGCACATTCTCACTGATTATTTTTATTGTAAAATGTGAATGAAGGTTACCAACAACCCTCAAGGGAATTAAAAAGTGATAACCTCCATATAAATGTGCACATTTTTAAGCATCAATGAAAGCATGCATATATTTAAATGCAAATGTGAATCCTTTTACTGTCCCACAGTGGTGAAATTCCCTGTCCGCATTTTAACCCATCCCCTTGGGGAGCAGTAGGCTGCCATTGTGTGGCACCCAGAGAGCAGTGTGGGGTTAAGGGTCTTGCTCAGGAAACCAAAGTGCAGGCTGTGGGGATCAAACCAGGTACTTGCAACCTTTTTAGAGCACAAGCAAACTGCTCTAACCACTAGGTCAACACTGCATCTGCATAGTATGAGTATACAGTTGGTTTAAAGGGAGATGGCATAGGGGAAAAAACACAGACATTTATAAGTAAAGATTTTAGATTGTTTTCAAACTGGTTTTGTGATATCGTAGCACATTTTAGAGCCTCGGTATAAAACACCAAACTGAGACTGAACTGGTGAATATACAGTAAACCGATTGTAGCAGTGGAAGTTCTTTCCTCTGTTCTAACGTACATAAACTTACTGTAATGAATAGGGTTATATGTTTCACAAAAAAAATAAAAATAAAAAATTTTTCTTTTAAAAAACCTGCCTTTTATTTTTTATACAATTTAGTCTTTAAAATACCAGAACTTGTACATAAATTCTTTTTGCATAATTTCTAAACATTAATTCAGATGTTATGAGCCGACAATTACTCTGTACTTGAGTAGCCTTTTTACCAAATACTTTTTACATTTACTTTTGTAAATAAATAATACTGAAGTATCCTCCTGCCAACTGCTCTCTTACGGGAATTTAACACAGGGGGACATTTTGGTTGGACTCTATAAGCTTGCATGACAAACAGATAATTGGGTTTTAGTTTGAACTTACTGCCCAGGATTTGAAATGTATAACTATAGCTTAAAGTTGTTAAGTAGTTCTAGAAATAATTAGATTAATTAATTAATAAATAGAAATTATTTTTAAGCATCATCATTGATGCAAACTTAAATGTAGGATGCAGTTGAAATGGGTTATGATGCTAAAATTTTGAGCTTTCTTGTTAATTGACAATTTTTGCTTATGAGCTCAGATCAGCTGGGGATGATAATATTCTGGTAGTGTCTGCATTTCCTCACAGGGACTGATTTTAAGGTTGGAATACATTTAGAATATATGCATAAAAATTAAGCTGCTTAAAATATAAAATTTAAAAATTGAGGCTTTTAATTTAAGATTTATTCAATCACTATTCATTTGCACTAATTTAATGTAAGGCACTGATTTTATTGCAAAGATCTAAGATGTGTAACAAAAAAAAAATCTAAACAAAAAATGTCTAATGGTTGGCTTTAAGTCTTTGTTTTCCTAAGGGGAAAAAAATAACGTTTACTGAAAGTATTAGTTTATTTTTTAATTCAGTTGCTGTTCTAGACTTTCTGCAAAGTGATCACCTTGGTACCAGAAAAATGCTCAAATCAACCTTTCTGCTCTACTGATCTCAGCTTTTATTTTTAATTTGAGATTTGAAGAAAGGAAATTGGCTCTGTAGCTTATTTCCTCCACCTAGGCATCAGTTTAGTGTTTAAACAGGTGCGGATGAAAGGGCCATACAGGTGATGGAGTTTCAAGCTTTTGCTGTGTGCAGAGGAACGACCATTCAGTGACTCACCTGAGCTCTGACCAGCTGTCTTTCTGATCAAAGCCCCTTCAACTTGACTGTTTTATTGGTGACAACACGGACAGCTGGATGTTTCCACCACCATGTGAGCCGATGAGCAGTCAGAGAGGTGTGTTGTTGGCTGATTTGTGTCTCTGGATTAATTGACACACCTGGGTTTAATTCACACAGGCAAGGCTCATCGTCTCATCAGAGATCTGTCAGCGCTAAGCTGCAGCTGTCTCACTCAAAGATGGGAAAAAAAAGTGTTAATAATCTTCCTGTTCTGACTGTTAATGTGTTGAGGCGTTTGATAAGGTGGAAAATCCTCAGTGGTTTGGGCAACATTTTTTCACAAAAACTTTATCATGACAGTTGAGTGGTTATCAATATCAAAACCCAGTTTTTTTCCTTTTATTAAGCATGATTGATCCTAAATTTCTTCGATTTTTATTTATTTATTTTTTTTTTTTACAAATACTTGAACCAAATGAAATCTTGTAATAAAATTAAGTAAAACAATAATTTGAATGTCTTTACGTCTCTATTAAATCAGTAAAGATATATTACACGTGAAAAAAAATCCCTATTAAATCTGGAACTATAGTTGTAGTTATTTACTATTGTTCTCATTCAGGTAAGAAAGGCTTTTGTTAACAATATTGTGAAATGTACAATGGTTATAGCATGGTTATAGGAAGGTAAATTCAATTTTTACCCTTCGTTTTAGTTTGCATCTATCTATCTATCTATCTATCTATCTATCTATCTATCTATCTATCTATCTATCTATCTATCTATCTATCTATCTATCTATCTATCTATCTATCTATCTATCTATCTATCTATCTATCTATCTATCTATCTATCTATCTATCTATCTATCAAGATCAACAACTAAAACACTGATATGAAATTCTTTGTGCAGTTTTTGTCATTGCTTCTGCACAGGAATTAAAGCCAGTTATTATCAAACTACTCATATAATTTTTTTTTTCTTTTAGAATTAATCAACTTGCTGTCTTTGGACATATGTTTATACATCCAAATTAAGTGATTGAATGTAAAATATTTGTAGCCATTTGTTTTAATTTACTGATGCATGTTGTTAGCAGCTCACAGGGATTAGCTGCATCGTTCTGCCTAAACCAAGTGTCACGAAATGTATAAAGTTTGTCTTTCTTTTTCACTTAAAGAGACTGACCTTTTATTTATGTCCTGAAATTAATAAGACCATTGTTAATATAACAGAATATTTTGCTTTTTGTTGATTAAATAATGAACTTCTAAGCTTCCTTCAAACAGCTTCAAACAGCACTTGTAAAGGCATGAGGCTGTTGATGTAACTTTGCTATAAAATGAGTTTGATACTCCTGCATAACAACCAACAACTGCGACTGAAAAGTCAAGATTGGCAGCAGTGACCCTGTGCTTCTTTGAACAATGGATGGATGTTATTATTATTTTTTGATTATCTCGATCATGAAAAGTCTGCTGTAATGAATTTGAACTGCTTGTTTTCTACAAGCATGTGTTTTTGCAGAAGCTGTCTGCTCTTTATTAAAAGGGGAAAAGTTTTATGCCTTTCTCATTAGAGCACCAACTTTACAGAACATGTTATCTATCTATCTATCTATCTATCTATCTATCTATCTATCTATCTATCTATCTATCTATCTATCTATCTATCTATCTATCTATCTATCTATCTATCTATCTATCTATCTATCTATCTATCTATCTATCTATCTATCTATCTATCTATCTATCTATCTATCTATCTATCTATCTATCTATCTATCTATCTATCTATCTAATTTTACACTCTCTCAAAGCCATAACTTTGTGTTTTAGTTCTTGCTATTTCTAAAATGCTGTATTTGTATTATTGTGAGCTAGTGTTTGTGTCTTATTGTTTGACACAGTATACAAAAATGGAGTCTGGTTCTATGGCACCATTTTTGCAATTTTTCTTGCATAAGAAATCTATGTTGTGTCAAGAGTTTCAATAATTGCTTTTTTATCTAAAACATGATCGTTTAAATACACACAAACACAGTCACAAAAAAATATGCTCAGAAAGATAAAAAAAAGGTCCAGAAGATACAGCTTAATGGTAGGCTTAAAAACAGCAAATAAACCCAGAAGTTTGTTTCCTGCTTTGTTTATCTTGGGACCACTCTTTCAGGGTCTGCTGCTCCTCCGTGTGCCTTTATCCCAGATAACTGAACACCAGTTCTTATGACTTCTCTGGTCCGGTGGTTTGTTTTTATGGTTTTTGACAAGCTCTAAACTGGTCAGGTGAAGGCACAGATAGATTCTCGGCTGATCAAACTGCCTTTGGTATTACTCACTAGTATTTCTAAGCTCAAGGATGTTACAACTTGTCCTAAATGAAGTTAGGAAAGAAGAGATGTTATGAGCATTTTATGTCGGGAAATGATTGTAGGTAATTTGTTTTTGATAGAGCTATGACAAGCAAAGTGAATACAGATAGTTTAATATTATTTTAAAGGTGTTTTTTTTAAGTCCAACCCCACCCAATCCCAAAATAACTGCTGCATTGTATTTGGATGAATGTGACAGGTAGGAGGGGGAAGCTAAGTTGAGACCACCTCCTACTCAGGTGCTACCTTCACTTTTTAAGCAACACCTTCTACCTGTTCTCAGTGCCTCAGACACCTTTAACAGCAGCACCTTTAGCAAAGTGGATCCATTTTTGCAGTGGATGCTGGGATGTATGTAGTTATTTGATTAGCATCCCATTAGAATTTAACCTGGCACTTACCTGCACACCATCATTAAATACCGGACTCTTAATCAAGAGGACATGTTTGGTCCAGGCCACATGGTGTCCACACTCCTTCCTGCAGTTTTTCATTCTCCTGCATCTCACTTCTTCCCTGCAATCCCAACCAGACTGAGTGCTCCACCTCAGTTCCTGATACCTGGACCCTTTTTCAGCTACGAAGCCCTGAGGAATTACCTTCAGCCAGAGCCATGCAAAGAATCATTGCTGTTGACCACACAGGCGGTTGGGATAGGGCCACTAACGGAGCGTGAAGGTGAGTTCTAACACCACTTACGGTAATATAATTTTGGATTTGCTGGGATATAGTGCAGTCAAACTGGTACTGACAGCTTTTAAGACAGTCTGTGAGCATCAGTGTAAATGTTTACAAAAGACTGTCTAATAGCTCGTAACTAACAATCAATTATCAGACAGTGTTAATGTGGGTCTGGTGATTGCTGCGCTAATTATCCAATCTAGGGCCATTAGTTCCCCGTCACCCGTTGGCAGCTGTCTAATTGGTGCTTGTCCCGTGCTTTCCAGATGAACAGAGGCCAGTGAAGCAACGGCGTGCACGCGCCAACTACAGCAGCTGGCAGCTGGAGGAGCTGGAGAAAGCATTCAAAACGACCCACTACCCAGATGTCTTTATGAGGGAGGCCCTGGCCCTCAGACTGGATCTTATCGAGGCCAGAGTTCAGGTAACTGGTGCTCTAAAGTCAAACTGGAACTGTTTGAAGGCCATACAGCTGATAGAAATTTGTTGGTCAGGTTTTCTGTTTTTCATCATAAACATTCATACTGAGTGACATTAATCCTTTAATTTCTTAAATTAGGTCTGTTTATTTTAGAGTTATTTATAAGAGCAAAAAATAAAGTCTTAAAATGTTATTCCTAACATTTAGTATTGCGTGTTCCCCTTACGCTTTCTTCTATCTTCTTGTTTTTGTAATTTCACACCTGCAATTCGCTACTTAGGTACATTGAGGGTATTTCTTTTCTATTCTATTCTATTCGATTCTATTCTATTCTATTCTATTCTATTCTATTCTATTCTATTCTATTCTATTCTATTCTATTCTATTCTATTCTATTCTATTCTATTCTATTATAGTCTATTCTATTCCATTCTATTTTAACTAGTATTTGGGATGTAACAGAAACAGTTTTATCCAAGCATAGGCTACTATGACGTTTAACTTTATTTATTCAGCAGCTTTATATTTGCATTTTTTCCTGCATTTATCAAGTGTCCTAATAACATGAGCCATTTCAAATAAAATAAATTAGCTAAATAATGTGAAAGAGGGATTCACACAATTTGAGATTTTATTTTCTCTCACAAAACCCGTCACCTTGCATATTAAACAAAAAGTTTCCCCTTAAATATACCCTTTGAAATTTTGGATTATTCAATTTAATTTTGTACAAATGGTAGATATTTAAATAGACAATTAGTAGACTTTTAGAACAATAAGTAAGCTGTGTGATGAAATTACCGGTAATAATGTTTCTTTCAGCTAACTTTGATGTCAAAGGCTGAATTATAGATTATTTTTCATGCTTTGATTTCATCTAGTTTTGACCATTTTAATTGTTTGGAAAGAAGAATCTTGACCATATGTAGTCATTTCAGTGCTGCTGCAAAGTTTTTAACCAGTACATGGCAGAGATAGCGCTTTACTTCAGTTTTAATCTCTTTACTTTGGCTACCTGTATATTTAAGAGTTCATTTGAAAATTTAAATCTGTATTTAGAGCTCTAAGCGATCAAGCATAAACCATCAATATTTTACATTCATATTTCTATCCAAACAGTGTGAGATCTTCCAGTTAAAGTTAGTTATTGTTTCCACAAACTCTATTTAGGACTAGAGCAGATCGATTTGTAGAGCTACGGCTCCCAGATTCTGGAATGGTTCGCCTCTATATTTGTGCTGTGTTGACTGTTCTTCTAAGAAGCAAGCCATTATTTTAGATCACATTTTCACTAGTTTTATGCTGTGTGATGTTGCATCAATGTTGTTTTGTTCTTTTTTTCTCTTTTTTATGTTTTTGATTTTTTTTGCTTTTACTGTTTTTTTTTATTTTATTGTGTAGCAGTTTTATATCCTGTTAAATATAAGTAAGGTTTACTTACCGGTATTTCCATTGCAAGAAATCACATGGAAACTTAAGAACCATTTTTTCAATCAATGACACCTAATTTGTTTCCTATTAATATATAAAAGTAGTAGAAAAAATCAACGTTTTCTCACAATGTTTGACTGCCTGTATGTTTTCCTTTCATTTGCTTTTAGGTTTGGTTTCAAAACCGTCGAGCGAAGATGAGGCGGCAGTTAAAAATCCAGGGCCAGCTTACCCGGCCTCAAATGAAAAGAAATGATGAATCTTGTGAGCAGGAGAGCACAATTTTCATACCAGCAGAAAGTTCCAAGTGCAAAGCTTGGGAGAGACAACAGGAAAGAGAGATCTACCCATGGACAAAAGCTCCGGCTTCTTCAGAGGGTTTGCGGAAGCAGCCTGTGACCCTGAGTTTGGGGAAGTGGGCGAGGCAGGAGTGGCCCAGCTCAGAGGAGCTGCGCTCCTGTAGCATCGCCAAGCTACGGGCCAAAGCCAGAGAGCACGAGGCTGAGATTCACAGCACTGTAAACATGTCAGGCAGTGACTCGCAGGCACAAACGCAGGAAACTGATGCCATTCTCAGTGACTAATCATATTCCTTCTTCCTGTTTATACAGATAAACTCTGGACACCGTCAGCATACAGCCATTGTTTGAACTTCTGGGGAAGCATTTCATCACTTAGCTATTAATAATTGGGACATGAATAAATAAATGTATGAATATATTAACTATATACTTTCTACCCAATTAATAAAAAAGAATAAGGGAATTTAATTTACTAAAATCATACCAAAATTATTTTGACTTTGAATATAAATTTCTACAAAAAGGAGTATTTAAAGGTAAAATCATACGATTTGTGCCTTAATAAATTTGAATATATAGGCCAATGTATTGTTTTTTGTGAAAGTGTTCCATTTTTTGTCCAATAATATGAAAGAAAAGTGAACAACATTTGATTATATGTAAATTCTAACCCCCTGAAATGATGCTCAGATTGGATAATTTTTAATTAGCTTGTATTTAACAACTAAGGAGGGAGGTTCGAATTGCTTTTTTTTTTAGTCTCTATTTAAAATATTAAGAAGCACAGTATAATAGAAGTGAACTCTGGGATATATTATCACAGTTAGTGTTTAGGTCTCTGTATACAGGATAAAATATTGTTTTTGTATGCTTACAATGAAGAAAAAACTCATTAAATGTATTATGTAGTAAAACAACTAAATCAGGAGACATGTTTCTTTGATTTCTTAGACATAAGAACTGTTTTTTTTTAAGGGCGTCTTTTGTTGTTCTTCCATCTAAAAATGTGTAAAATGACCAAAAGATATAACATAAAAAGCACATTTTTACACAAATTTTATTTGTGAAAACAAGAACAACAGAATTCAGGACTTGTATTAACCTGTTAATCTAAGTACGAAAGAGCTAGAAGTTAGTAATGGATGTTAAAGTCTTGGCAGACTATAAAGCACAAAACTTATGTATTTTTACTTACGTATAGATAAATCCTGCAATTACATTTTTTGAGAGTTTATACAAAGAAATATATGATATGCAATGTGATTGTCTAGCTGGTGTGACGGTTTACTGTAGGTTAGAAATTGTGTGCTTTGTTTAAGATCTGGGGATTTTATTCACACTCATGTCTCTGAATGCAGTTTTCAGCGCACCTTAAATGTGATTGATGATATATTCATGGAATGCTCCACTATGCTGAGGCCCTATCAGGTAACAATGACTGATGACAAATGTTGACATCAGGGCACAGCTTAGATAGGATACAGTCAAGAAATTGCTGAATGAGTTCACTAATGACATCCCTGACCTCTTAGGTTACAGTCACACACAGCCAGGATGTCTGCATGTATGAACATGTTCCTCCCAGGAAAGGGGGAAATAGCTAAAAAATGAAATCATAAATCCAGGTCCTGCAGATAAACTGCACAGTAGAATTTTGTTTTTAGAGACCTTTAAAGTGATATAGTTTTTGTTCTTTTTTAAATTGTTTTTAAGCAATGCTGTAAATATAAATGGTTTTAATTAAGCCAAAAATCCAAAATTACAGCCGAGAATTTGTCCTTAATAATCAGACTTTACCTTTTTTTTTTTTTTTTTTAGAATTTCATCAAGATTAAACCAAATCTCAAAAGTCTTCCTTTAGATAAGAAAAATACCTCTTTTCAAGATGTTCAAATCCTGTCTAGAGTTTATACCACAACAAAGTCCTCCAACAGTGCAGTGAGACACTGCCCCCTACTGGGCACATAAGTGCTTTTACAAACAAGATTATTTGGAAGAGTCAATCTGCACTATCTACATTTATTATACATATATATGTATAAAAACCTTAAATCAACATTTTAGAAATATAAAATTATTTGCTACGTAGCAATTGTCTGATCTAGTGACTATAAATAAACAGTTGTGACAGTTTGAGTGAATAAGGGTCAATGCAGGTTTCTCACATTTCACAGACTTCAATTAAGCCCTGGTCTAATTACATTGCATGAGTCAGAGGCTTGAACCCTCACTGACAAGATCAGTAGGTCACATGTTACTTTTCTAAATAGGTCAGATCCAGCCTTTTTCATTTATTACTCTCATAGAATGAATTACCCGCTAATCTAGAATCTTTTTTAAAGTTTTCTCCATAGCTATTCAATTTGAGGTATAATAAAATATGAAAAGTTTGAGGGTAGCTCTAAAATGTTAACCTACTTGACCACAACCTAGTCCAATAATGGTAAATGAGCATGTTTATTTCAAAATTCAACACAATTCGATGGATAAAATATATCTATTCGTAAAATGATGTGTTACCTTCTAAATATTAGTTATCATTAACCATATAATATGGCCGCAATCATAGATTACCTCGTATTTGTGTTATATAACATATGTATGCCAATTTAGTTTAGCTTCTAACTAACAGACAGTAGCTACTTTGTGTAACTTGGCAATTGCACATTTTAGAAACAAAGATGACGTATCAGTTTCTTCAAGGTTTTTATGTAGCCCTAAATGCTGATGATAAATCACACACAGTAGGCACACTCCTTTCACTACTAGTACGTGTACCCCTAACAGCAATGACAGAATTCCAAAAAAGTTAAAAAGCACTCCACTGGGCTTGGTTTCAAAGTTTCAAGACATTTCACTTCCCATCCAGGAAGCCTTTGCAATTCAAAATTTCACACATTTTGGGATATTTTGAATTGAAAAAGCCTGAATGACTGAGAATCTTCACTAGATGATTTGGATGGTTAGTGAGAAAAAGACAAAATGCAAAGTTATACATTAGAACACAACCAGGTTTAATTAGACCAAGAATCACAAATTTCAATGGTAAAGTTGTCAATGGCCTGGACTTACACAGCACTTTTTCAAGTCAGGAAACCTGACCAAAGCGCTTTGCAATACATTCAGTGATTCAGCCATTCATTCACACACTCCGCACAACATCTATTACTAAACATGCACAAGCAGACAAACACTCAGACAGTCATTAAATGGCTTTTCTTTAATTTCATAGATGTTTACAAAGAGCATACATCGCTATGAAGCAAAAGTACAACAGAAAAAATTACATAAAATCAATCTTTTTTTTTGTCAGTCAGGACATATTTAAAAAAGTGGTAATACCACTTCTGCATTGGCCTTCAGTTTATTTAAGGCTTAAACTTTGAATTATCTCACTAGCCTTCTGAACTGTCCAATATTAAACATTTAGAGTACCCAGTTAAGAGTCATATTTCTATAGTGGCTGCAGCTCTAAAACTACTGGTTTAAAACATGTTTCTTTCCTCCTATGGGAGCCTTAGATTTCTGTATCAATTGTTGAATTTAGCCTATTTCTTCTATAATTATCATAAATTCGAATATTGAATTCAAATAAACATGCTTTGTACTGCCATAGAAAGCAAATAAGCTTCTAACAACCAATAAGGCAGCCAGTAAACCCCTAATTGCTGCAATTTTAAAGAGCCATGCTACTTAAGCTGACTAGTTTAAGTTCATAACTCAACTCACGCTTTAGGTTGAACAAAAATCAATCACATAGGCTACTTTAAAATATTCGGCCGCGGTTAAGCGGAAAAGTACATGAATCATGAATTGCACATTGTTCTTTTTGGAGCCCATTTAAGGGCCAGTTTAATCAGCTGTTGTGATTGAAGGACTACCAGTCAGTGCCAATTAGTGTAATGAGCTGAGAAACCCACACCACTGCGGCAGCAGCAACACAAACTCTTCCCAGAGGGTAAACCAGAAGGAAACCGGATGCAGCTGCTGTGAGCAGGAAAACTTTGTCTCTTTCCTCCTCCACAAACACTCAGAGGTGGAACTTTTCCGTTTTCTAAATTCAGGTCTGAGTGAAGTGCAGCGCTGGAAGCATGGCAGCCATCAAGGCTTTGGAGCAGTGGTGTAAAATGCAGTGTGATGGATACAGAGATGTTGCCATTACCAACATGACTACTTCTTTCAGGAGCGGACTGGCATTTTGTGCTCTTATACACAAATACAGACCGGATCTCATGTAAGTGTTTCAAACTGCAGGTTGTTTTGTTTTTTTCCTAATTATAAGGATGACTTGCTGAATACAAAACTAACTAAACTAAAATAAATACTTAATCATCCTGCATGTATCTACTAGATTAGATAAAATTTTTTCTGTCTAACATCCCTATGTATTCCTTTTGGTTTTTATTTTCAGAGACTATGACTCACTCAAAAAAGAGGATGTGTTTGAGAACAATAGACTGGTAAGGATGTCCAGCTGTACACCCTTTAGTTTCCAACATGGATAAAAAATTACATTTAAATTGCAAACAATTTTTTTGTGTTTGCCTCTACCTGGGATAGTAACCATTGTTCTGTGTATGCACTTTGATGCTCTATCTCTCTGGTACTTTTTCCAGAAAAGACATCACTTGGGACAGACTCTTTAAATAACAATTAACTTATATATATTACATAACCAGGAGACATAACAGATTTTGATTTAAATGGTAATCTTACTCAGATCAGAGAAGTTGCTTAGAGTTTACAGAATGGCAGCTGCTCCCCTCTCAGAAAGTGGCTCCGATTAACTGTTAAAAAGGCATTTTATACAACTCCAGTCTGCCACATCATCATATTTAACATCATACAAGTTAGCAGATCAGTAGACATCCATGGCTTCAGCCTTGTCAAAATATTATACTTCGTTCTTAGCTGAAGGACACCGCTCTCATTCCATTTCCAAATCTTTGACACATAGAAAATTAAGATTATAACTGTATATCCACACAGAGGAACGGTCTTAATTAGATTCACTATTGTGGAAAACATCAGTTCTGACTAACAGGCAGCCAATACCAAGGTGTAACAAACTCTAACATCATCAGTGATGATTATCCTAACACCACAAAGGCTGCAATATGCAATATTTTTTTTTCTTTGCATTTATGTTACTGGTTTAATTTTTGTTTAAGCTGTTTGCACATATTCATATTACAGTCTGCAACTCCACTTAAGACTTTATTTTTATCCACTTTATTTGGCTAACCTCTTAGATGGTATAATTGATTTAGTCCTCTGCCATCATATCCTCTGAGAGCTGGGGCTCCTGTAGAGTACTACTCTTTGCACTACTTCCTTGTTGTCCTGGGCGATCCTGGTAAAGTCAGCAAAAACCTGATCCCAGTGGCATGGCTGTCCAGGCTATTAATTTTGAATGAAGCTTGCTGTCATCTGCTATTCGATCCGCACCATGATGGATCTCTCTCTGACGTACACTCCTTCAGTGTGGCAAGACTGACAGATTTGTGGCCAGGGACTAGCCTGTTTCATCAGGTTTAAGTTTAGAGTCTCTGTTGATTCTCCCTGTTCTGAAACATGAGTAAAGTAATTTACACTTCTCTATATTTCATGAATTGTATCATGTTCCTTAGCAGGTCCCCCCACTCTTTAAGTTCAAACCTTGTCTGTTGCATGGTGTAATTTTTTAGTCTTTTAAACACAATTGTTAGTGTGATGAATATCAATTTATATTATCAAAAGAGCTGATGCTAAATTACTGCTGATATAATTCCCCACAAGGTGGCAGGAAGTCTTCACCCTTTTCTTGACCTTTCTAAACTCCAGTACTGAATGCTTTCATGTTATATAGTCATTTATATTTTTAAGCACACTGAAATTCTTTCATTGCCAGGA